TCAGCTATTGACCGTTAGTAACGACGGGATTGTATTACAGACTTCTTTTGGGTCTCTCACCTTGCATAATACTGATCAGGCGTCAGATTTAGGCGTCACCATAGTGAACAGTTTCAAGCCCAGATTTATCTTGACTGTTCAGTACCGCTAGAATGTCTGTTCTTCGTGGTCACTCCAGGAAGCTGAACAAACAATAATTCAATCGGATTAGGGAGGAAGTTCGGTTGGCACACGGAGTCATCGAGCGCTGGAACTTGCTTCCGGAAAATGTTATCAGGGAGTCTGCGGTTAAAGGGTTTGAGCGTCAAGTTGACACACTTGGGTGGCAACATGAAACATTTCCCTTTTCCGGACTAACCTGCAGCCGCATACTTAATTTTATTTTCTCCACTTTTCTAGATTCATCGGTAGTATCCTCTTATTACAAGTGAACTTATTCTGTACTTTCGATTTCTCTTCTTATCCCTTGCTTACTTCACATGACTGCCACAGCAGGGATTGCTAGCGCAGGAAAAGGTTGACAGTAATTGGTTGACCAGAATTTGATACGAGTGTTCCGTTTTAGACCCATCAGCAACTCCGAGCACCTCATCAATTCCTGGCTCAAGGATCGGCTCAAGAAGGAACACTCACGGAATTCTCCTATCGTTGCAGTCCCACATGAACTTGGACTTCGTCTTCGGCACAGTGTTGCCATGCTATGAACAAAGTGCGACAAGAACATTTTCGCTTGGAAAGGACCCTGTGTAACACCATGCCTAAAGTTTTCTTGGTGTTGTACAAATCAGCGCTGTGTTCAGGCGTGGGCGCGGTATCTCCGTGGTGACGTTAGTTGTATGGAAAAGATACAAAACAGTCAACTAGAATACTTGAAGGTCCAGGTGGGAAGTCGTACGAAGTTATTCTAAGGAGCTTTGGAGTGTTTTCATGCGAGTGGCGTATCTTGAGAGGCGATTCGATAGAGAGGTTTAAGATAGTGGAGGGCCTCAGTGGCATCATGCCTGCTGATCTGCTTGAGCTGGCTGCTTTGCATCCCGTGTGCGGACATTGTTTGAAGCTCAAATAGCAGAAGGCTAGGCTGGATATCATGGCGGAAGTTTTAATAAACCGTGTTGTAAGTAAGTGGAATAAACTTCCTGCAGAGTTGTAGGACCGTGAGACTGTGGTAACCTTTAAAAGGGGCGTTTGTCACATCTTTTTACAGACCTACTGTTATTATCTTGGAGTTTGAAACATTGAGACTTGGTGTAGTGAAATCTGACGTCAATGCATGAAAAAGTAAAGGCTGTTCGCATTCTTGCTTTATTCTTCTTTGCAGAAGCAAAAACAGTCCGTCAAACGCCGAAGTGCCGAGATCCCTGATGTGCTCAGTGGTACGAGAAGCAGGAGGAAAGCATAGCAGGCGAAAGTACGGACCTTGACCTGACCCACATTCCTTTTTAAAACTTGTTCACATCCAAAAATCATAGAATGGAGATAAATCAGTCGCACAAGCACCTCTCATAAGGAAGATTATTTTGCACCATTCGGGTGAAAATCGACAGTTCTACGGGTAAGTTAAGTACTTAGTTGGTGGGTTTACTTGCGATTAGCATCAGTCCCCACGACCATTCAGAGACAGGTGAAACGCTAGCTTATCTAGCTGCATACTCCTTTGATTGCAATAGTTGCGTTCAAAAGGTTGGGTAATCTTGAGAATATCTGATTGTAAAGTTTCCATATGAGTTTGTTGATCGCTTGCGTAACCACTTGTGCTGGAGTGTGGAGTAAACCTCACCGCATCTACTACGCCTGCCTCATAATCGTAACGTAGTTGGTAACAGATTACGCTGCAAACGATGCAGCCCCACATGTTATCGGCTCAAACCACTTTTACTGGCTGCACTCCCCATTGTCGTTGGGACCCAGAAAATAGGTGGTATCATGGTTATCTTCAGTCTATCGGGTATCTTACTTGTGACCTAACTAGGAGAACTGTACAGACGCGCCTGCTCACTTGCGGCATGAATGTGATATTGCTCCAAAACCCTCACTTAATCGTGCACCGGAGAAGCTAAGAAGCCCACCTACCTTTATTCCGTTCGCAGTTGCTCGAATAGCATTGTAGCGCGTCAAGCAGCTTGCAGTGCTGCTGATTCAAGAAGTTCCCTTACATAGTCCGTCGCATCAGATGTCAGTAGTCAGGTACGTATCATCAGTCACCTAATGAAATGTGTCATGAAAACCTAATAACACTTAAATAAATAAATTGTACATTTCTCAACGGTGTGAGACATAAACCAAGTGCGTTGTATGTTCATTAGATACAACGTACTCAGATGACGGAGAAAAATTTGTACTTCACAATGTAGGTCCCAAAGAAGCTTTGCTGTGTACAATTTGTTAAAAGTAATAAAATTGCGGAAAGTATAGCGTAAAAATCATTGCAGGCATAGCAAGCAGTTCAAGTAAAGTAATATGACCATGCTGGGGATCTGCTTCTATGCGGTATAGTCCCTCGAAAAGTTTCATCCGAACTTACACGCCTCAAGGTGCAGGCCCCGTTTGTGACTTTCAGCTACACTGGTAACCCTAGCCACTGTGTTCTTATTGAAACCTAAGTAACACTTCAAGAAGGATATCATCTTTCCTTTTTGCCGATTACTCTTAATGGGTTTTGTCGACACAATAGTCTTGATGAGACGCGCCGTTTGTTTACTGTTCGCCCACGGGAAACCTTTGACATTCGCATCGTTCACAGTGTAAGCATAAGCTGAGGGCTGCTAAGATTCAATCGCTTAAGGACTGGGTGACTTCATCCATTGGTTTAAGCAGCTGAAGGTGCGCGACTGTGATGTGCGGCGCGCGCGCGACCACACTAGCTTGGCCTCATCATCGATGCAGTGAGCGGTGTAGTGCGTACGATGAACTTGTTGCTCATTCTCACCTGACCCAGAAAATGACCAGAACGGCACGGTATCGACTACGGTTTATTATTGATCGGTCCCACCGCGTAACTGGCTGCGTGAAGTGCATTCCGCCTGTCTGCCCTCAAATGTCAGTGGGGCCACATCACAGTGTGTGTACAGACGACTAGTTTTATGAGCCCTAGTACAGAACCAGAAATTATTTCGAAGTTCGGACTTCCCAGTATAGCGTTTATTGTCGTTGTGAGCTGGAGCACTGAAAGTAGGAGCTGTTGATCAGTGTAAACGTTTCACTAGAACAGGTAACACATCATCGACAATCCTTTGCCTGGTAATTCACCAGTAAAGACCGCTTGGCAACAGATTGAGCTATCGGATCATGCCACAGGGCAGCAGCATTCAACGAGGTAGTGAGAGTTGCACAAATGTTAACAGTTTACAGAAGTATTCTAGTGAATCACAAGGTTTGTGCTGTGATAGTATTGCTTAGTGTCGGTGGGAGTAGGATGGTAGTGGCACGAATTTAATCAAACGAGAAAGGAGAAGGAAGTGCCGTATTTAAGTGCATGAATGAAGAGTGCTAAGTGCGAAGTTCACAGATTATTGGTGCATTTATTTGAGTAGTGTACCGGAATTAACAGATTTCCCAGGAACAGTTCCCCCAGCCGTTTATGACTGGACTGGATAAAGAATCTCAGCCGAAAGCGCTAGAATGTGTTTAACAGCAAAAAAACGCGCATGCCTTGTGATTCAGTCCCAGTATGCGATTGAGATATGTTATGACACCAAGAGGGGTTATAGGCGAACTGAAAGATAGGCAAGTCTGAGCCATAGCTGGTTCATGGATATCGGCAGAAGCTTAAGCGTAAATGAACTCTAGGTAAAAGAGGAATAAAAAGATGTAGCGGATGAATATTGGGTGTTGCCCGCCAAAAAGCGCTGCAGTTCATGGCCAGTTCAGAAGTTATTTGATCACATCAGCTAAAGATAGCAAGCACTCGAATCCGGGACTTATGTGATCTTAGCCGAAACCTCTGCCCATAAACCACCGAGTCGCGGAGGCCAATGCTTGTCACAACGGTCAATGATTGATAAGAGAGCCATTTTGAAGCACTAATTGTGTGCGAATGGATTGTGATTCATTACCTCAATGTGAACTGCGATTCGCATTGAAGTGAACCCCGGATAATTTGATCAAGTGAAGCAAATGAGTATAGGGTGGTTCGATCAAGTGATTTGGAAACAAGCAATAAAGTGTAGCGTTTTCGCTAGGGAGACAGAAAATGTCCACCGGTTTCATTAGTTACGGTCCCAGTGATGGAATTGGCAGAGGTTCATTTCGATGCAAGTTTTGGTCCACTGCGATTTTATGTCCTGACCCATTTACACAAAGGGTGACGTTTACATAGGTCATGGGTTGGTAAATCAGTGTACTAAAGCTTACGTCATCAGTGGTTAGCATACATCACAAGCTATGGGCAGTCTTCCACATATGTTGCTATCTGGTTATGGATCTAAATGGCTCATTTCTGTATCTGGTGAAAGGCCGTCGGTTCACTATGCTTTATATACGTTGAGAGCAGCCGTAGGCACATAAGTTCAATTCTGGTTGGGTTGTAGTGGTTATTAGTCTTTCACATTTCACATTTATCATGACAGGAAAGACAAAATGCGAGAGATTAATAACCACTACAGGGTATACACTAAGTGGGTATATAGTATGAGCAGTCCACAAGGCGTAGGTGTTTGTAAACAACGTACAAACAGCCAAGCAAGCATATCGTCTACTGATGGGCAGCAAAATCTTTCCGCAGGAAAAACATCGCCAAGCAATGTGTTGGAGCAATACCAACCACATTGAAGATAAACGTATCACTACTACATATTATTTCAATGGGATTGACATGAGAACGGCAAGGTTAGATGTTGTGATGGTAGGACAGAGTATAATTAATATTAGTGAATTCTTTTGGATGCTATAAAGGTTACTGGCGCAGTGGGAAATTATTAGCCAGAATCCAGTCGAACAAAAAGGTTAATTTACTGATTGTTGGAACTATATAAAAGGGAAGGATAAAACAGCGGTAAACTCACTCTGCTTGAATGGCTATCTCAGAAACCCCGAACGTTTGATGACTGGCATTTTCGACCTGCGGCCGCCTAGAATTGTCCGACTGCATCAAAGAATAGACCAACTGAACTATTGCGGAAAGTGTAAGTTAAAAGCAGCGCGTTTAGGAAGTGACGCAATGGTGAATAGCAACTAAGTGATTATATTATACAAGTTACAATGAGTAGTACTGATTTATGCAAGTACGGGATAAAAGAACATGAGGTTGAAACTGGTTGGTTTGTTTAAATGCACAAAGTTGGACTTGGAGGTCATTTAACTCGAAGCAGCTTTTTAAAAGGGCTACTTTAATATTGCGGCAACCGTAGTTAACCGACTGACGGCGATCATTTTGAAGTTGATGTTCTCAGAATCAGCTGAAAGTCAAAGATATGTATATCAAGAATGGTAATATTGAAATAAATAAGAAAAGTACGTTAAAATAAAGGAAACAGATTACTCTAAACGTTAGAGCTTTAATAATCTTAGGATCAAATTAAATGTAACATTACAAGAACATTAGCATGACAATCTTCGAACACACATGTTTAGAAGCATGCATTTATGAAAGCTTATAACAATAAATAAATAAATAAATAACTAAAAAATTAAAGTTAAACAATTGTAAACACATTCCTGTAGTGATGCAAGATACGGGTTTCACGGGTTTGCGCAGAACAATTAAGCGTAGCTTTTCGGTGGTTCTGCCTCGGGATCTTACGGCAAGGTCCTGATCTCGTCGGTAGGTACCAGATGTTGTGGGTCTCGACGCAGTAGTGGTGTTCAGCACAAGTATTCAGCGAGTTGACTGTGGGAACGTGGATACCTGGAACAAGAGAGTGGTGTAGGTAAATTCGGCAAAGTTGGATAGAAGCAAAATGATAGAAGCGCCGCGTGTTAGCTTGGCAAATGGCCAGATCTTAGCAACGTGGAAGACCAGCGAGGTAAGAGCCAAGCGTCTAGGCGCTGTTTGAAGGCCTCCGTTTTGGGCGCTGAGACAACAACTTCAGGGAGGGCGTTCAAAGCGAAGGCAATACGCACACTGAAACTGTTTCTTCGGCACAGAAGGCGACTGCTACGAGTCAGCAGTTTGAGTGAGTGCCAACGAAGATGATCTGTACGGGCGCGGACCAGCAATCCTGCATTTGGGTGCCTGTTATTAGTTAGGACGGAATAAGCTAGGATAAGGTCGCCACGAAGCCTGCGATATTTCATCGGGAAGAGGTTAAGGGCCGCCAGACGCTCCTCATACGAGAGGTGATATAGTCCGTCCACTCTCTTAGTGGCTCTGCGCTGTACAGTTTCCAGCATGGCCTCGTCCTTCTTCAGGTACGGCGGCTGGACAAGTATGTGGTACTCCAGCAGCGGACGTACTAAAGTGCTATAGAGACGGAAAAATGTCTCTCTAGGGAAAGACCCTAGTACACGTCCAAGGAGGGCCAGGCGAACGCTAGCCTTTCGCGCCAGTGTAACTACATTGGCGCTCGGGCTCAGGTCGGCGGATATTATGGTCCCCAGGTCGCGTTCCTGGGATGTGGCTTTAAGATGCACACCGCCGATATTGTACGGATTAGCCACACCTTGCCAAAAGTGCATGACTTTGCACTTGTCGATGTTAAACGGGAGCGAATTTTTCGAGGTCCAAGAATAAGCAGCATCGATATCTGTCTGGAGAAGTGCCTGATCACTTGGCCTGCGGATAGGTCGCCATATCTTAGCGTCGTCCGCATAAAGCAGTATGTGGCTGCTGATACAGGATGGGAGGTCATTGATGAACAAATTGAACAGCAGGGGCCCGAGGATGGATCCCTGGGGTACCCCGGTCGTTGCAGCCAGAGCGCTGGAGAGTGCGCCGTTTACACGAACTCGGTAGGTGCGGTCAGACAGGTAGGTACTTAGCCAGCAGATTGTTTGCTGGTCGATCCCCAAACTCGGCAGTTTACTCAACAGCAGTGCGTGATTGACCCGGTCGAATGCTTTTGAGAAATCCACGTAAACCACGTCAGTTGGAGTATGATTGTCTGCCTCTGCAGTCCAGGAATCAAGGGCTGCGAGAAGATTTGTGGTGCACGAGTGAGCCCTGCGGAACCCGTGCTGTTCCGGGGCTATTAAGGTCAGACTTTCTAAATGGCAGCGCAAGAAATCGTCTATGATACTCTCCATTACTTTGGAGGCAGTGGGAAGCAGTGCTATCGGACAATAATTAGAGGGGTTTGTCCTGTCACCACCCTTGTATATCGGCGTTATGACCCCTTGCTTCCAAGCATTCGGGTAGTCGGCACTGGTGTAGGAGCGGCTGTACAGTAAGGCAAGCGGCTCGGCCAGTACCGTAGCGCACTCACGTAGAAAAATGGGAGGGATCCCATCCAAACCCGGCGATTTGTCTGCCCTTAATTTTTTTAATTTCTCCAGGACTTTTGCTGATGCAAACTGCACGGGATGTCCGGCAGCGATGGGGGTAAAATTAGCGCCTTCCATTGTACTGCGTGCAAAGGTGCCGAAAACGGACTCGTACTGAGTCTTCAGCAATTCCGCAGCTTCTTTGTCCGACGTTGTGGTATTGCCTACGGGTCTGAGCAGGCTGCCAACGGCAGCGCGCGATTTAGTTAGAGACGCTATATACCTAAAGAAGACCTTTGGGTTATCGGCGAAGATTTTAGCGAGAGCGAGCTGGTACGCTTTTCTGTCCTGGCGAACAGCTGCTATACAGGAATTTCGCACTCTACAGTATTGTGCTTGCGAATCAGAGTCGCCAAAATGTAAGAATCTGTCCCAGAGGGCCTTCTTCTCCCTGATCAGCCTAAGCGTAGCAGGCTGAAGTTGCCTGTGGCGTTTCGGCGCATAAGCGCGCACTGTGGGGACGTGTGCCCTAATTGCGTCATGGATGTGAGCGGCGATGTAGTTCCATTGGTCGTCGACTGTGGGGATTTGTGCTGCCAGACACCAGTCGACTCGTGAGAGGAAATCTTTGATCGCGTCATAGTCCGCTCGACAAAGTTAAGCCTGATGGGCAGTGCTTTAGCGTTGAGCGTGACGTTCGCCACCACACTAAAACTGATAACTGCATGATCACTTACACCAACTGGGGCGCTCAAATTAACGTTGTTAATTAGATGTGGCTCGTTAGTGAGCAGCAAGTCGAGTTTCGACGGGTTTTGACCGTCTCGCCACCGAGTGTACTGCTGTACGTGTTCGGTTAGGCCATGTTCTAGAACACTGGCAAGAAACCCAAGGCTGTGCTGACTGCGAGCTTGGCCAGAGGTAAAGTCTATCTCCGGGAAATTAAAGTCACCTGCGACGAGTAGGGGGACACCCAAATCTGAAGCAGCTGCTCGGAGGACGGCATTCCAGCACTGCAGCCATTCTGGCGCAGCTGAGGGAGGGCGATAAACCACTCCTAGGGTGACACTGGTGGAACCAGAGCCGCGGACGCGAATCTAGAGGGATTCGGGAAGAGATAGTAGTCCCGGAGATTTGATAGGGACACATGTGAGGCGGTCTGATACATACACAGCTACGCCTCCGCCTTTGCCGCTTTCACGATCGTTTCGAAAGAGCACGTATCCCGGGATAGCTACCTCGGCGTCCACAACGTCTGGGCAGAACCAGGTTTCGGTTATACATATAACTTTAGCTTGCGTGTCCAGCGCAAGGGAAGAGATTTCGGACACCTCTTTCCGTAGCGATAAAGCGTTGGTGTACAAGCAGTTCCACGTGCTAACATGAACTGCTGGCGGGCAGTGGCTTGAAGGCATAGATGGTAGGGTAGTTCCAGTGTGGTTTACGCCGACCCCACAGGGGCCGGCGCCTGCTCGTTTTTTGGTATATCCACAAGTCGCGTAATAGGTAGTGATGGCATGGCTCGGCTGAATGGCGTGGAATTACGTCCCTGAATTTGACTGCGCTCCTCCCGCGGTTTGTCTGGATGCATCCTGACTTCGTACGGGAAGTTTCCACGTAGCTCGTACCACCGTTGTAGTACAGTCTGACGCATCTCAGGAGTGAAAAGAATGATCCTGAGCAGTTTAGACGCCTGTATCTTCGAGAGGTGAGCTGGCCTCGGCAGCCAGTGAACAGACCACGCCCTGCAGTTGTCCACTGATAGGTTAAGCTGCGACCGAATATAGCACCACTGCTGAACATCGTGGCGGGGTGATTCAACCGGGTCGGCAGTGTGGAGTTCTGGGACTCCGTGTATAATTATACTGCAAGCTCTATCGTGGTCGGCGCACGTGCTGTTGATACGCGCCTCTCTTCTTACCTCCCTCACAACCCAGGGAAAGTCTGGCTGGGCGCGGATCTTTGTGTTCAGTTTATTCAAGCAAGCCGATGCCAAGAGCGTTTCCTCGACGTCATCAGCACTTTCCAGAGTGACGCGTAACGGCCTTGGGCGTTTGTCACCTGGTGAGCGTGGTGCGCGTAGACGGCAGAGAGAGGGCGAGGAGGTAGGCGGCAGTCCAAGGAGTTGCCGCAAGGATTGCCATTGGGTTAGATCGGCACTGGCTCTGTGGGATAGTGACGGGTGGTCGCTCTCGTCCACATTGAACAGTATCAAAGTTTTGCGGTTGAATGCTGGCAAGCCACTGCTCTGAGGCGTATTGGTGCCTTGGCTGCATTGTGAGGGCCTCGGCTGTGTAACATGTGTGAACTGGGGACCTGGGTTCTCCTGCGATTGCATGGCGCACTGAGTGTGGTTGGCGCAGTTTTTAGCACGGTGTTTGTCCCTCGATTGTTTGGGGGGGGTTGCGACATTTGCACCGTGGGATTTCGACACTGGTTCCTGTGGTCTGCTCACTTGCTGGCGAGTCAACCGTTAGTTCTCGGGTGTTGCTCCCATCTGTAATCAGAAACGGATGCGGGTCGCGTGGAGGAGATGAGCCGAGGATCATAGGTATGGTGTCGTCCAGCTCCTGTTCACCGGAGACTGCTCCTGCAGGCAGAGGGTTGCTTGGGCAAACACAGTCGAAGCCTTGAGGTTGTGGTGAAGATGTAACTGAGATGTCGACTGATGCCAAGTCACGAGTATCAACGCCTACGTTTGCTACTAATACGCCAGAAGGCAAGTCACAAGTGTCGACGCCTTTAGATGTGGACTTCGTCGAGACTAGCAAATCCCTGCAAGAGTTTCTAAAG